AGACTTTCTTAGTTATGTGTTGTATGTGGGTACTGAAGTTGAGTCTCTTGTCTAGGAATAGGCCAAGAAACTTTCCATCATTTTTATTGCTAATGTTTACATTGTCTATCTGAAGCTGAATTGCATTTGTAGATTTGCTTCCAAATAAGATGTAGTAGGTATTTTCTATGTTAAGTGTTAGTTTGTTGGTTGATATCCATAAGTGGACTTTTTTTAGTTCATTATTAACAACATTATTTAGTGTATGTGGGTTGGGGGTTAGAGTAGATGAGGGTAGTATCATCAGCAAACAAAATAGGTTTCAGAATGTTAGAGACGTTAGGCAGATCATTGATGTAAATAAGAAATAAGAGAGGTCCCAAAATGCTGCCCTGTGGCACTCCAACGGTTACTGGTAGAGTGGGAGAGGTTATATTATTGATGGCTACACATTGGTGTCTATCACTAAGATAGGATTGGATATAGTCCAGTGTATGGCCTCGAATTAATCAGCAACTAAGGGGCCTTATAACACCAGAGAAAATCCTTGTTGCTCTCAAGGCAAGTAGCAATGCTGCTTCCGGCCCAGACGCTATCACTATACGTCTACTTCTACTGTGGTTTAGAATGTACAAGAATGTATGTAATGTACTTAGAGCTATACCAATCAGGGTGTTTGCAAAATTGTTTAATATGTGGTTGGTAAACGAATCCCTGCCACAACCTTTTCGCAAGAATGAGACAGTGCTGTTTGCTACGAAACCTAACCCAGACTCTCCTTCCCATTATCGCCCCATAACCATGTCATCTGCGATAGTGAGGCTGTTCCATAAGATTCTGAGCAGCATATCGACTCTCCGAGGCAGTCAGGATCAACAGGCGGCAGAAGGCCTTTGTCCCTGTGGACGGATGCCTTAAAAACCTGGTGATCCTGAATGCCCTTCTAGCTGAGGCTCGTGCGCTCAAGCACAACACGCACCTAGCGTTCTGGATATGGAGAAGGCTTTCGATAGCGTCTCCCATCCGGCCATCCATCGGGCTATGAAACGTAAAAGGCATTCCGAAGCCTTTAAGGACACACACATAATGTCGGGCTATGATCGGTCCTCAACCGTAATAACCAGCCAAGGGGAGAAGGCGAAGGACATCCTGATCACTAGGGGGGTGAAACAGGGTGACCCCCTGTCTCCATTTCTCTTTAACCTAATAATTGATGAGGCAATTACTAGGGCTAAGGACTTGGGGGGGTTGGACTAGGGGGTGAAAAGATATCAGCACTGGCATTCGCTGACGAACTGGTAGTGGCAGCTGAAACGGCTGCCGGACTACAGACACTTATAACAAGTATTTGCCACGCACTGATGGGCTCTGGTCTTAAAGTAAATGCTGCAAAATGCCGTACGCTAAGCATAGCAATCGATGCACATTGTAAGACGTGGCATGTCCCCACCAGGAAGGCATACTACGTCGGGGACGATGAAATCGGTATTATGAGTGTGGCGGACGAGTATAAGTATTTAGGGATACTTATTGGAGCCGGGGGCAGACGCCTTTCCTACGGTTCCGTGTTTGAGGACGGTCTGACGAACATCACCAAGGCGCCACTCAAATCCCAACAGAGGCTATACCTACTAAAACACCGCCTAATTCCCAAGATGAACCACTGGCTTGTTCTCGGATGCGTGTTTAAAACAGAGTTGGCGAGGCTTGACAGGCGGTTGCGGCATGCCATCCGTGGCTGACTGCGACTGCCTCATGATACTTCCAATGCTTTTTTTCACGCCGACGTAAAGGCCGGTGGACTAGGAATTCCCAACTTTGTCACATCAATCCGCCTACAGAAGAACAAGCGGCTCGGGGCGTTAGTAGAGTTGGAGGGTCCAGTGGTAGTGGTGGCGGCTCTCCTACCCGCGTTCCAAGCGTGAATGCGTCGATGGGTAGACCCGACCACAGCCGTCGGAACCCCTTCTAACAGATCGACTGAGCGCTCTAGAAAGTGGAAAGCAAAACTGTATAGCATAGTCGATGGTGCCGGCCTTGCATCCTCTTGTAAGGTTCCATCTTGCCACAAGTGGGTCACATCTGATACCCGTCTGCTAAGCGGAGGAGATTTTGCTCACACTATCCAGATTAGGGCAAGCGCTGTAGCCACACCGTTTAGAGCAGCTAGGGGTAGACCTGAGGCTTCTGGTCTCTGCGATGCTTGCCAGAAACCAGGGACCCTGAGCCACATATCCCAGGCATGCCACAAGACACACGGGGCTTGGGTGAAACATCATGACGATATCACCCGGTTCGTAGCCGGCCGTCTGCGGCAAAGAGGTTTTGAGGTGGAACGTGAAGTCCGTATACCGGATGGAGGGACCTTCTGTAAGCCTGACATCATAGTTTGCAAAGGTGATAAGGCCTTTATATTAGACACCCAGGTCTCTGCTGATAACTTCCCACTCTCCCGTCCACATCAGAGCAAGTGTGACAAGTACAGCACCCCAGAGATCTTTCAAAAGGTCAGGGAATATACAGGGAAGCACACAGCATCCGCCTCTTCGATAACCCTTAATTGGAGGGGAGGATGGTGCAAGGAGAGTGCGCGTGGTCTACAGGATATGGGACTCACCAAGAGCAACCTTGAGATTTGCTCTGTGAAAGCCCTGACCTGGACATATTCCATCTACAGAATATGGTCCAAGACCACATCTAGGGGCAGACCACCTTAGTCCCAGAATCACCGTGCACAGGGTGCATAAGGGTCAATATAGTCTTGTCTAGGTGAACCGCAGCCAGGATAGCTGGTAGCCAACTATCTAACCAGAGTCGTCATCGGGAGTACCACTTTTCCAATTGGTTTTTCACAAGAGGGTGGATGACCTGGCCGGAGCCCACGAGTGGGTAAGGCGGTGGCCAGAGGGACCCCCATGCGCATACATGATATCCCTCCTGCTCTGGAGCCTTGTTAGGAGCTTCCACTATGAATAGTTTTTTCCATGTATGCCGATGTTTGTAGTGCAAAAACTACATCTGCAGGATGTAGTTTTTGTTTTAGATTTTGCATAGGAGAAAAAGTATTTATTTATTTATTTATTTATTTATTTATTTATGCATATACAAGAAGGTACATTGGGATTGTGAGGATACATAATATGGTAATTACAATCTTGTAAAGCCACTAGTATGAGCAGCGTTTCGGGCAGGTCCTTAATCTAAGAAAATTTTAAATAGGTAAATACTTGCAAAATTTATAAAAAATGATAACAGTTACAAGGAAAGAAAAAAAAAAGATGAGAGAAAATTGTAGGTATATTAAAGCACATTGGTAGCTCAGATTAATTGCAATGACAGCTTGAATGGTAGTTGTCAAAAATTGGTAGTCACAATACAGCATATGGCTAGCACATAAAAGAAGACAGCAATGAACACAATGATAAAGTTGTTTGGGTTAAGTACATAAAGATTGGGAGATTGGGTAACACTAGATACAGAGCAAATTTAAGGCTCAGTGTAGGAAACTAAGAAGATGAAATTAGGTATTTTTTGGTTTTGCTTTTAAATAAAGCAAAAGTTTGACAGCTTTTCAATTCACTTGGGAGTGAGTTCCATAGACTAGGTCCCTTATTTTGCATAGAGTGTTTACAAAGATTAAGTTTGACTCTGGGGATATCAAAGAGATATTTATTTCTGGTGTGGTGATAATGGGTCCTATTACATCTGTCCAGGGAGAGTTTCAGAGCAGAATTTGCATTTAAGAACAGGGTTTTGTAAATGTAGTTGACACAAGAGAATGTGTGGAGGGAAGTATTTTCGAGTCCTCCTCGTTTCGCTTATGGCCTTTTACTCTTTGTTTGTCTGAGGCCTTTGTCTCTCTTGAATTTTAAATGATTCTTGCAACTTTTGCTCAATCGTTTCTATTTCTACACATAGCCTTCTTTGTCAATCTTCAGATAGAATTGAGCATTTAAGATGTTGTACAATTGTTTTTGCCACTTACAGAGGGAACACATTCTCATTCCAGTTTACATATTTTTTATCTTTCTCCTTAGTGGTATGTGACTTGCACATAATTTTAGTGCTATTATGATAATTTTGTCAAGGCACTGGTTTCAGTTTGCATTATTTAGCTGTCTTTCCCAGCATATTTTTGTGTAGGCTTGGTTTATTTACTTCTAGTTAATTTGTGTTATTTGCAATTGAATTCACTGAACACTCCTCTTGAATTTGAGACTGGCTGCACAGGTCTATTACCCATGCTTGTCTTGTCAGTTAGGTTATTATCTAGGTAACGTGTATTTGTAATCATCATATCCCTAATCAGGTCATCATTGTTTGTAAGATAAGATCTAAGGTGTTTTCTTTATAGTTAGTTCTACTATTTGCTGGATTAAGGGATATCTCTCACACATTTGAAAGTCATCTGCATCTGTTCACGTAAACTGATTCCTGGGATTCTCTCTGGTATAACTATATTTCCCACACTTTTTCATTTTAAGTGCCATAAGTTGAAGTTGCGAAGCAAGATAATGTTTGGGGCAGGCGTTGTAAGGTGTTCTAAGCAGTATTAAATTTTTGTTAGTTGGTCTTTAAACTGCTGAGGATTTGCCCGCTGGTGATTTTTCTGATGATTCTTGTTATTGATATATGCAATCACAATGCTCATGAATTCATCTAGACAATAAATTAATATTGTGTTCCTCCCATTCAATTGGTATCCCTGTAAGGTACTTCAAGCAGAACTTAGGGTTATATTTTATCTTGACTCTGGTTAGAAATATTATTATACACTATGAATCTTACATTAATAATATCTTTTAGATGTCACAACCTAATTTAAATTAATGAGTTGCCATAAAATAAAGCCCCAAGATCTGTTTGAAGTACCTTACAGGAATACCAATTGAATGGGAGGAACACAATGCTATTTATTATCTAGATGAATTCTTAAGCATTGTGATTACACATATCAATAAGAAAACACCGTCTATTACGTCTTTGCTCCACATGGCTTTTCACTGTTACACTGACCACAGGAAAGTGAAGAACGATCATCAGTGTTACCAGAGGACCCAGGTAGAGACCCTACATATGCTGAGCCTGATGTGGACAACCTCAGGACCCAGAAAGATGAGGTCAGTGATTTTATTATAACCTTTTTTATTCTGCTAATGCAGTTTACTATTGCCTGACAAAAAACCAGCAAGAATGTAATGCAACTCCAATTTCTGTGTGAGTCCCTGAAGTTAACATCTCCGATGTGTAAACTGCCTAACAGGTACCATCAGTCATGGAGATCTCTGGCCTACTGGGGATCATGAGTCAAAACCTGGCCCTCTCTCAGAGTTGTAGAGAACACTGGCATTTGTTTTGTATATGTCGCCATCAAGGAGGGCATCCCTTAAGTCAGCGAGACAAAACCAAATCACAACTGGCTACTTCCCAAACCTGCAGACTCGAAAATGGCCATCGAACTTTCCCTAATTAGATAAATAACTGAAAATGTGTTATCTTGAAATTATCTTGAGATGATTTCGGGGCTTAGTGTCCCCGCGGCCCGGTCCTCGACCACACCCCCGAGGAAGCAGTCCGTAGCAGCTGTCTAACTCCCAGGTACCTATTTACTGTTAGGTAACAGGGGAATCAAGAGTGAAAGAAACTCTGCCCATTTGTTTTCGCCTCCACCGGGGATTGAACTAAAAACCTCATTACTACGAATCCGAAGCGCTGTCCACTCAGCTCTCAGGCCAGTGTTCCAGCTCGTGTTTTAATCCACCAGTGAAGCCCTCAGATGCCTCGGGGCCGAAGGATGGGATGGAAGGGGGAAGGGAAAAAAGGACGAGCACCACCCAACAAACCGGGAAAGGAAGTGGAGGTGCGACACAGCCCAAGGTCCAAGTGATCATCACCTCCAATTCCAAGACTGTAAAAACCAACCCGGGCAGCTCCCGGAAATTCAGTTAGGCATACAACCTGCACTGCTGTAACCTAGAGAAACAAAAACAAAGACCAGTCACTGCCTGAGAAGCTCGAACGTAGACAGTGACACCCCACCAGCCAATGACATTCCAGCTGTAAGAAAGATGGAGGGTGAAGAACCCCTAGACTCACCCCAAGGTAAAAATCACCACAAGTGAGGTGGACTTCTGAAGGAATGTCCTTGAACACTTAAGGGAAGGAAACCCTGGCAGTGTAAGGGGCAGCACTAGGAGGAAGGAAACCCTGGCAGTGTAAGGGGCAGCACTAGGGGGGAAGGAAACCCTGGCAGTGTAAGGGGCAGCACTAGGAGGAAGGAAACCCTGGCAGTGTAAGGGGCAGCACTAGGAGGAAGGAAACCCTGGCATTGTAAGGGGCAGCACTAGGGGGAAGGAAACCCTGGCAGTGTAAGGGGCAGCACTAGGAGGAAGGAAACCCTGGCATTGTAAGGGGCAGCACTAGGGGGAAGGAAACCCTGGCAGTGTAAGGGGCAGCACTAGGGGGAAGGAATCCCTGGCAGTGTAAGGGGCAGCACTAGGGGGAAGGAAACCCTGGCAGTGTAAGGGGCAGCACTAGGGGGAAGGAAACCATGGCAGTGTAAGGGGCAGCACTAGGGGGGAAGGAAACCCTGGCAGTGTAAGGGGCAGCACTAGGGGGAAGGAAACCCTGGCAGTGTAAGGGGCAGCACTAGGGGGAAGGAAACCATGGCAGTGTAAGGGGCAGCACTAGGGGGGAAGGAAACCCTGGCAGTGTAAGGGGCAGCACTAGGGGGAAGGAAACCATGGCAGTGTAAGGGGCAGCACTAGGGGGGAAGGAAACCCTGGCAGTGTAAGGGGCAGCACTAGGAGGAAGGAAACCATGGCAGTGTAAGGGGCAGCATTAGGGGGAAGGAAACCCTGGCAGTATAAGGTACTGCCATGGTTTAAATTTTTTTTTTGCCAGGGTTTACATTATTTTTTTTTACATTTATATATTTACATTAACTAGAGAAAACATATTCGAGCTAAGGAAACAAAGGTACCAAAAACTGAGGCCAAAACTGTCAGTAATTTCAAGGCATTTGTTACGGCATCACTTAGCCAGTAACCAGGTTCTTTTAATTTCAAACTTTTTATCAAACTTGCTATGGGGCCTTATTACCTCTTCTTACTAGATCCAACCGTGAGTCATAGGCAAGTTATTCAGAAGTGGCAGTAATTGTCAGTCCAACAAGAATGTGGGGTAAGCAACACTAAATCATACCATCACCACGTGTACTTCTGAACTATACACTTCTTACATATGTACATAATATAATATCGCAGGTGTCACTTTCACACAAGCCCTACAAATGAACGTCTGCGATCTTCTAACCCGGCAAGTCCACTTCTATCTTCTTTGTACAACACTCAAGGTTCCCCCCCCTGAGTCTGTCTTCTATGGTACTCATGCCAACGAGTTCACCTTTCTCAGTTAATCGTGGGCCAGTCCTTTACAGTATCGTCACAGTGTCATAAAACTACTACTGCTCTCCAACGACACACTGGCTGGATTCGTCTAAAAGCCTTCAGCTATAACAAGCCTTAACACATAGGACATACAGACATTAATTCCATCTCGTAACTCAACTTGAGTTATGTCTTCACACCTTCCCTTCTAAAAGAATTAGGGTCGGGTGTGCTCAGCAGATGGCGTCGACATTGCCACAGCATTATATGACAGAGTATTGGGAAGACGGGACACCACGAGTTTAACTCTCATCCTGTAACTACACTTAGGTAATTACAACTCCTTGCCTACATACACAGAACAGTGTAAGGAACTGCAACGCAGGCAAAAACCTGAGAAAAAATCATTGGGGCCAGAACAACGTGGCAGCCCAACAATTCAGAGGAGAACTGACCTGGGGGTCAGTTCTCTACCTCTAGGGACTACCTACCCCCGTCCCCCAAACAAGGGAGTGGGGTAAATGAACACGAGCTGGATTCAAATAATTTTTGGTTTGTTTGTTTATCTAATTTGAGAAAGTTCTATGTTTTTTTTTGTTTGAGTCTGCACGTTTAAGAAGTAGCCACATGTGGTCTGTTTTATCTCGCTGACTTTTTGGGGTGCTTTCCTGGTGGTGGCATATACAAAATAAATGCCACTGCTCCCAATGCCTCTGTTCTGGCTCATGGTTCCTGGTACGCCAGAGAACTACACGACTGATGGTACCTGTTAAGTATTGTACACTTTGGAGATGTTAGCTTCAGGGAGCCACAAATGGCTGCCCTCAAAAAAAAAGAATTTCTTGACAGAGGTACGTGCATTCAGTAATAAATATTCTACTGTGTAGAAATTAACTGCAAAGTGAAAATGATATGAGCTAAAGAATATTAAATATTAATGTAATTGAAAGGTTATCTACTTTCAGGATAATTTGCCAGTTCAGTTGGAATCTTGCTAATACTGTATGTAGTACTGTACAGTACTAAAAATGAGAAAAAGCAAACTATAGACATTTATGTATTTAACTGCTAGGCACTTATGTCTTTAATATAGTCATTTATGTATTTAATTAATATAGCACATATGCAGGTGTGGTACCAATCACATGGGTAAATCTGTTCTTAAACAGTACACTGGATCAGCTAGTTTAAATGCCCCTTGAAACTACTGATAAGAAATGCATAGATTTTCTCAATTCAAAACACGTTATCAAATCTGGGGTATGTTTATCCCTCTTATACTCTAGTATTTATATATGCCAAGCTTGCCATAGTAATTACCTAAGTGTAGTTACAGGATGAGATCTATGCTTGTGATGTCCCATCTTCCTGGTACTCTGTCACATGATGCTTTGAAACAAGTGACAGGTTTGGCATCCACCAACTTCTCAGTTAACTTGTTCCATCTATCACTCGGTTTACAAAAGAGAACTTTCTTTTTTTTTAGCAGGTTTATTTCCTTAGCTTAAAACTATAACCTCTTGACGTTCCAGGTTTCCTCTTTTTCTTCTATCCTCTAGCTTTGGCATACACCTCCAGCCTTGTCTGGTAGCTCTTGTCCTTTAGTTCTGGAAGCCATTTTGTGCACATCTTTGCTCCTTTTCCAGCTTGTTGATGTGCTTCTTGAGACATGGGCACCATACAACTGCTGCATATTCCAATTTTGGTCTTGCTAAGGTTTTTAATGCTTCACCATCCATGTATTTAAAAGCAAATCTAAAGTTGGAAAGTGTAGCATAGGCTCCTCATACAATGTTCATATGGTCCTCTGAGTTTTCTGTCCAGAACCACCCCTAGATTTTTTTTTATATCAGAGTTCTTTCAGGCATTTTCACTGACATAATTTGTAAGTTGTGTGTGGCCTATTTTCTCCTATTACACATTCCATAATGTAGCATTTACAATACAGTGGAACCTCGAGTGACGAGCGACTCCAGTTATGAGCATTTTGAGTGACGAGCGACTCCAGTTTCGAGCATTTTGAGTGACGAGTGACTCCAGTTACGAGCAAGCCACTCTCAGAAAATTTGTCTCGATTGACGAGCAAACCACATGGTGCTTTCTAGCATTCCCGCTGGTTCTCTGATGCCTCCGACGACAGTTTTGTTGTTGTTTCGCAAGACGAGCATTTCACATGACGAGCTTGATGCCGGAACGGATTAAATTCGTTAATTGAGGCACCACTGTATTCTCATTAAATTCCATTTGCAAAGTGTTGTTTCATACACTTATTCTTATTTTGTACAGGTCATCTTGAAGGTCATGACAATCATCTAAGCCTTGCATCATCTCCTAGTATCTTAGCATCATCAGGGAACATGCTCATAATTCTATATTCCTTCTGGTAGATCATTCATATAGATGATGAACATTACTGGAGAAAAAACTGAACCCTGTGGTATTCCTCTAGTAACATTTATCCAATCTGATACATTGCCTCTGAATACCGCCCTCATTTTTCTATTATAACATTTATCACCATGTCAAAAGTCTTGCTTTCACCCCCTCCAGTGCGTTCCAATGGAAGGGTGGAAATGCGGCCCAACTATCTTTTTTTTCTGTAAAACTTCTGTCGCTTGATCTTAGAAACTAATAGGAATGTTACATAGGATCTTTCTATTCAAAAGCCATACTGTCTGTCTGTCATTATATTATTTCTCACCAGGTTTTCCACTCATTTGGTTTTAGCTATTTTTTCTAACTTTTTTTTTACTACCACGTTAATAAATGAGTCAGGTCTAGAATTGTGCACTTATAATGTATAAAGTTTGTGTGTTTCAATATTGATCTATGATTAGAGCACACTCGGAACATTATACACACTAGAGCTATCTTGGCACATTACTGTATATACACACTAGAGCAACCTTGGCACATTACTCTATATACACACTAGAGCAACCTTGGAACATATAAGCACTAGAACTCCTGATTTAAGATGTGAAAACTATTTTAATTCATTTAAATTATAAATTATCATTCTCTATTTGTAGTTATATTATTAAACTGAGAAAGAAACCATGCAAGATCACGAAACAATATTTTGTGCGGCAACTAAACAATCTAATATGATGAACAAATCCACAAGGGCCATGACGAGGCCCTTGTGGATTGATTCATTTGATGCATCACATTAGTGTGATCTCTGTGTGCAATCTAATATGATGTCATGTTAACAGGAACTGGAGAGAATCCGACGTGAAGTTGGCAGGAACAGTGCTCGATGGGCGGAGCTTGAGCTGACCTAACGTGCACCACTAAATGACAACTTGATCCTGTTCATAATGCCTTATTAGTATTAAATTAGTAAATAGCCTTCTCAAGTTTTATTTCTAAAGGGTAAAAATACATTACTATGATAATTACTTTTGTTTCTGTGTAAATTTTGTAATTGTATTACCAACTCAACAAAGTGTTGTATGCAGCAGGCTACTGTGGCATGTATATATTATCCAATAATGTCTTCACTGAAGAGAAAACTATGAAAAATATTTTTCAGATAAAATGATCAAAAACATTATTTCTCATACTGTATAGTGAAATGTATGTAGTAGAAGGAATGAAAGGCTAGACCTGGATGACAGTCTTTTACAATATTATTTCATATTTTGAAATTGTTCATAGGGCTGGAGAAAATTTTATGGGTTTTAAGACCAAAAGAAATAGCAACACACTTATCAACCTAGTGAGAACAATATTGAAAACTAATATTAATTCAGCATTGAATAAAAAGTTATCACCATTATCAGCTCTTTGATACATCACATTAATTTGATTTCTTTGTGCATTGAATTAACCCTTTAACTGCGCAACGCGCCTCCAGGCCCATGGCTGGGGTGCGCTACGCGCCTCCGGGTATTTGTATTTTTCACGTTCCATTCAAAACTCCCGCGGCTACATGGGGTTCACATCAGCTTCCTCTGGGCTCTTATAAACAGAAGCCATCTTTAAAAAAAATCGTGGTCCACATTCCCAGGTGTGAGAGCCTCAGTAGTGAGTGAGCAACCAAGGCTGGCGCTCGCAGCATGAGTGCACAGCACTGCTGTTCAGCGTGTGACAACAGCATCGCCTAATAATGTCAAAATATATATATAACCTGTATTATTTAGCCATGATAGTATTATAGAAGATCCTGAGTGTGATAATGACTGGGTACAATGTTCAAATATTAGAGATTCAATGCTGTTCACGATGTTCACAGCGCTAGCCACAGCACCACACCATTACTTCGTCCATCTAGAAATCTTCTAATGACTTCTTTGGTTCCTTTTCAAAATAAACTTGTGGTCAATTATTCATTTACAGGAATTAGTGACCAGGATTGTGGTTATTAGCATTGTGCATAGTATTGTGGAAGGAGGAATTTTGGTGAGGAAGGGAGAGAATTGAGGAAGCCTCACTGTGTGTGGTAGCCACTCTTGTTTTGCTCACCATACTAGCTTCGTGGTTCACTATGGGGAACACATATGTACATGGGTATACATTCAGTGTGTGTGTATATATATTGTAATAACAGCAACAGGAGTATGTTGAGAGGAGCTATTTTGGTGAGGGAGGTGACATCGTAATCGTAGTGTCGTCTGCTGTCTGCCGTGTGACTTCTCATGCAGTATATGGTGGCCACTGTACTGTTTGGACACAATACTGGCTTACTTGCATAGTTCTAGTAAATAAAACATGTAGATAGGTATATATAACATGTGTAGTGTAATAAAAACAATAACAGTATGGTGGGAGGAGCAATATTGGCGAGTAAGATAGAGTAAGGGAGGGCTGGCTGGGTGTGGCTGCTCACACTCGCAGTGTTCTGAATGTGTTGATGGTGAATGTATATAGTGTGTGACAGTGTATAGTGTGTAAATAGATTGTATATATACATAAATTAGCATGATACATGGTAAATATGTGCAACATATGTGTACACAAGTGTCATGCACGTAACACACTGTCTCCAGACAGTACAGATGTTTTACTGCCATAATATAGTGTACGTGTTCATTATACATAGGATTAGCACGTAAAAACAAATAAAATGTATTTGGAACTGTGCGCAAAAAAACCAGCGTTGAATAAAAACCAGCGTTGAATGTAATGAAACGCTATTTTCTGAGTGAGTCCCGGAGGCTCCCCGGAGCTATCCATGGCAGATATGGATACCCTAACTGTTTTGCATCAGTCAATGTGGGTGGAGTTCTAGGCCTACCGGGGACCACGAGCCAGAACCTGGCCCCCTCAGAGAGGCACGGGGAGCAATGGCCCATAGAAATGCACATGTGATTTGGAGCATTCTATATCTGCCATCGAACGGAACAGGCACCCAGAAAGGTAAGCGCCACAAAACAAACCCCTATTCTGGTTAACAACAAAAATCGACAAACAAGTGGACAGAACTCCCCCAGGAAAACGAACTAACAAGCATGACATCACACGAGCCGCGCCGCATGTCTGCGCAGCTCCCCCCCTCCCCGGGAGGGGGAAGGGGAAGCCCCAGACCCCCGCCCCAGTTCTGAGGCTGGATATCAAAACCGTGAAAAAAACGCCGACCAGAGGGCGGGAGGGTGCCGGGGAGCTTCCGGGACTCACCCACAAAATGGTGTTTCATTACATTCAACGCTGGTTTTCTGGGGCGAGCCCCTACGGCTCCCCGGAGCTACTTCACCAAAGACTACCTAAGAAAACAAGGGGACATACCCGGGAGGCGGTCGGTGAACCACTCCTCAACACGAAGTCGAGACCACAACCCAAGGACCCCTCCAGAAAGCAGCAGGCACATCATTCGCCAGAAAAAGGGAGAACGGCCGCAGACGAAGAAACCTATGACCACGACCATAGGAGCCAAAAACCACTGCGCCTGAGAAGAGCATGAAGCTCTGCCACACGACCCCCAGAGGCCAATGCCAACATAAAAAGAGAGCTGAGGCAAAGCAAACCTGACCCCAAGGAGCCACAACCACCAAGGAGAAGAAAAACAGGAGAGCACCCTGTCCAAAGACCAGGACGGCACAGGCAGTGCATAAGCAGGCCGGAGGTGAAACAACGCACGAGACAGCCTGCGAAAGGCACAGAAGGAACATCGATACCGAAAGCTAGCAGCAGAACCAAGGTGCCAGACCCAGGAACGGCCCCAAGCGCCTCTACATCCTCCACAAGCCAATCCTATGACAGCCCCAGGAGGGAAAAGAAAACGCAGGACCAAAACCAAAATGCCACAAGCGTGCAAGGCCACCACCACAAGTGCAGCCGACAGGGAAGGAACCCGCGTAAGGAGCCGCCCCGCACCAACATCCCGCAGAAGGGCAGGAGCGAAAAGACTCATGAAAAGGAGCAAAATCTTCCCCAGGAAAACGAGTAGCGCCGAGACAGCGTGAAGAGAAGAGATATGCACAAAAGAACAAGAAGGCCAAACACCCAGAAGCTGCCGGGAATAGGACCCACAAACTCTAGAAAGGCTAGAAAGGACCGGAGGGAAGCTCAACCGAATGACGACAGACGTACCAGAAAACGGGAAGGAGCAAAACCGTCCCAAACCTTTGAGAACAAAAAGAAGCAAACACAAAGGACGAAGGCACAAAAACCCCGTCACACCCGAGACCAAAAGTCATGCAGAAACCCCAAGAAGAGGGGGACATGACGGAGAAGGCCCGTCCCGGAAAAAAGGGGCGAAGACCGTAGAAAAGCACCCACCGACAGGATGGAAACAACGGGCACAATGGACAAGGAAACCGAGCCCAGGAAGGGGCCGACGCCCACAAAGCACGTGCGGAGAGAGGGAACGGAAAAACCCCCACACCACAAAACCACAAGCCCCGTCCAGAGGGGTAGAAATACCCCGGCGGGGACCAACGGGGCCTGAGGCCCCTCACGTTAGCCCCACCCCAGCCCCGGGAACCCACCCTGCAGGCCCCGGGGCCGAGCTGCCCCCTCAAAGCCCCAGCGTCAAGAAAAACCCCGGGGCAGCCATGAAAAACACTAAGGAAGGGAGCCCACTAGGCTCTGGAACTTGAACCGAAACCGGAGGATAGGCGTGGGGCGAGATGAAGACCCCAAGCTCATCCCCAGCCAGCACAATGAGACGAGGACAAGACAGAATCCAAGGAACATGGAAAAACCAGGCCCGGCACAGCAAGACCAGCAAGGAAGGAGAGTCCCAGAGGGAGCACGGAAGGGCCGAACATAAAGCCACAACCAACCCCGACACGCAGCTGCAGTACCGAAACCGCAGCAAAACGTCACCACGCTCCCCGAGGAAGCGACAGAGATGATAGATAAATCGTACACGAGTGGACACAGGCGGAAACCAAGCACCCAAGTGAGCCACAGGGACGGTAGAAGAAACGTGTGCAGTGTAACATTACGCAGCCCAACTTTGGCTGACCCCATACACAGCCCCAAAAGCAGAGACGAGAGCGCCCATGAAGCACAGAATCCGCTCGACAGGCAAACGACAGGGAAGAGGCGGAACCAAAAAGCCAGAACCCAATCCTGCAAGCACAAAACACCCTCGACCTCGACACAGGAAAATGTACCACCGAACAGGCACCTCCACCGTTGCACTGCAGAACAAGGTGGGGGTGGGGCCCCGAACTCAAGCAAGGTTAGACAAGAATAGGAGAGGGGCAGGAGGAGTACAGGTAGGAGCCGCCTCAGAAGGGCCAAGAGGCCACCCGCAGACATCCGTGAACCGAGGAAGGAATCAGGTGGAGAGAACAAGAGCTGCCCAGTATGGGCTAATAGCCCTGCAGCAGGCACCTCGGGTGATACAGTCCACGTTCTCAAGTACGTATGTACACCCATTCCTACTTCCAAAAACAAAAACAGCGTCAGGATGAAGGAGATGCCAAACCGCACCAACTCACCTGCAGAACATAGGCGCTGAAGGGCCATGACACAAGCTTTCGAGTCCGTAGCTGCTGGAGGCGGCCAGGGCGCCCATGCAGGAGAGAAGGGGAGCGGCGAAGGAGGCTCCCCACCCTAGAACGCAGGGAAAACCTTGTGACTTCCCCACAGCGGCATCCCAGAACACCCCCAAAGCAACAGGGCACGGATTGGATTAAGAAAAGAGCGAGAGGCGAAGCCCCCGAGAGAAAATGGATGCAGAACACGTGTGCACACCGCCCAGAACCAAAACAAACTCCCACGGCGCATGCGCAGGACGCGAAAGAAAAGTAGCCCAATAAGGCGAGAAGTAGCCCAACAAGGCGAGAAGTAGCCCAACAAGGCGAGAAGTAGCCTAACAAGGCGAGAAGTAGCCCAACCGGCTACAAGGAGCCCAACAAGGCGAGAAGTAGCCCAACCGGCGACAAGCAGCCCAACTGGC